TCCGCCTGGAGCCTTGCAGTGTCTGCAATGGAAGACACTGTCATGCAGATTCGGGTGTCATCTGCAAAGGAAGACACGGTGCTGTGGCTGACATCCATGTCTATGTCGGATATGAGGATGAGGAACAAGATGGAGCGAGTACTGTGCCTTGTGAACAGAGCTTTCCACCGTAGCTGCCTCGGACTTTACTCTGTTGACGACTACTCTCTGTGTTCTGTTAGTGAGGAAATTATAGATCCATCGACCGACTTTTCCTGTTATTCCTTAGCACGCATTTTGTGCGCTATTATGCCATGGTCACACTTGTCGAAGCTTTTGCAAAGTCTGTATATATTACATCTGCATTCTTTTTATCTTCTAGTGCATTTAGGACCTTGTCGTAGTGATCCAATAGTTGAGACAGACAGGAGCGACCTGTTCTAAACCCATGTTGCCCTGGGTTGTGTAACTGATGGGTTTCTAGATGGGTGGTGATCTTGCTTCTTAGGACCCTTTCAAAGATTTTTATGATATGGGATGTTAGTGCTATCGGTCTGTAGTTCTTTGCTGTTGCTTTACTGCCCCCTTTGTGGAGTGGGCTATGTCTGTTGTTTTTAGTAACTGTGGGACGCCCCCCGTGTCCATGCTCCCCCTCCATAGGATGGAAAAGGCTCGTGATAGGGGCTTCTTGCAGTTCTTGATAAACACGGAGTTCCATGAGTCTGGCCCTGGGGCAGAGGGGCATGGGCATGTCATTTATCGCCTGTTCGAAGTCATTTGGCGTCAGGATAACATCGATAGGCTTGTGTTAACCAAATTTTGGTGGCTCTCTCATAAAAAATTCATTTTGATCTTCGACTCTCATCTGGTTAGCGGCTTGCTAAAAGCTGAGTCATATTGGGATCTGAGTAGCTCACTCATTTCCTTGCTGTCATCTGTGTAGGACCCATCTGTTTAAGTAGGGGCCCAATATTGGACGTTGTCTCGACTTTGATTTGGCATAGGAGAAAAAATACTTCGGGTTTCTTTCGATTTCATTTATGGCTTTTAGTTCTTCCCTCGTTTTCCTGCCCTCCTATAAGATTCCTTTAGCTTGAGTTCGATGCTTGCTATTTCTCTGACCATGCCCTCCCTACGCATTTCAGATATATTGACCTCTTTAGCCGCCTGTTATTTTTCCGTCGCCTGAAAAGGGAGCGCCTGTCTCTTTCTATTTTACATCTACCCCTTTTCTTAGAGGAATAAGCCTCGTGCAACATCGAGTGCCCCCCAATTTTAATCTGTTCTAGGCATAATTTTGGGGTCTGTGTTGCTTAGTAATATTCCCAGCTTATATGGGTTTAGGATTTGGGTTTTTACTTGGTCCCACTTTGTTTTTGTTATTGAAGTTGAATTTGGTGAATGCTCTCTCGTGACTAGTCTCATTATGTGGGTCTGGGGCCCACCAATGCAAGTCTGAACCTCAATTATGTTGTGATCTGAGTATATTGTTTTTGATAGGGTGAATTTCTTATCAGATCATCATTTTTTAGTGAAGATGAGGTCTAGTGTATTCTTCAGTCTAGTACTCTCTTATTTGCGGGTTAAAAATTGAATTTTGTGCAGAGATTTAAAAGCTCGTGTGAGTGTGAGTTTTCATCAGAGCTGCCTCCTGGTGTTATTACTGCAACAATATTATTTGCTATATTCCTCCATTTTAGGTGCCTTAAGTTGAAATCTCCCAGGAGCAAGATGTTGGGTGCAGGAGCTGGAAGATTTTCCAGACAGTGGTCAATGTAACATAGCTCACCCATTTAATGTGACAGATTCAATATAGCATCCCTTTGGTTGTATGTACCCAGGGCTGCACTTCAAGAAGGTGACTTGATGCTGGTGATGGGTTCTTGATCCTAAGATCAAATATAACTCTTCCACTCTCCAGGTGCTATATGACACACGGGTTTAATGCTTCTCCACGAATGCAGTCATAGTAATACAAACCCTTCTAGAAGTGGATATTAAAAAGTAGATTCTTGATAAATTATATCTTGACTAGTTGTATGCCCCTTATGGGTCTAGCGCTCAGTTGTGATTATAACATATCTTCACAAACACCATTTAGGCACTACCGTGCAGCGCTGAAGAACAGCTTTTTTTTTTAATTTAATACATCAGTTATGTTTTGCTACCCTATTTTCTCTTATAATTACACAGCTGGAACACAAGCTAGCTGTGTTCCTCTATCAGCCTGACCTGGAAGACTTCAATGGAGCAACGAGGGAGGTTATCGTCAGGATGCGTGAGTAGGTGGGCGAGGCTGAAGTAGGCTTGAGGCTAATTGACAATATTTACTGAGGTAAGTAAGTGAGGCTGATTGATTAAGGGAAGCGTGGTCAGCTTCCCTCAGTTTGATTGAAAGAAGCTTGCTAGCTGGCTAATGGAGGCGTGGGTGAAATTAGTTGACTGATGGAAGCCTGCTAGCTGGCTGAGGGCCCACTTCCTTCCCGTTCAAGGAAGGTGTCTTCATATCGGTGAGGTTTAGCAACTCTCAAGGGAGGTTCCTTGACGCTGGTGAGGGGATCTTGATCAAGGGAATTGGGTCTGTGCTCCAGTTACCTGAATTAAGCCTGAATGCCTTACCCCCCCCCCGCAGGCGCTGTATAATCCTACAGGTTTAGCACTCCTTCATTACCTGGAGAGGGTTTCGGGGGTCAACGCCCCTGCGCCTCGGTCTGAGACCAGGCCTCATGGTGGATCAGGGTCTGATCAACCAGGCTGTTACTGCTGGCTGCACGCCAGCTGATGTATGAACCACAGTCTGGTTGGTCAGGTACTGACTTTAGGTACCTATCCAGTGCCTTCTTAAAGACAGCCAGGGGTCTATTCGTAATCCCCCTTATGTACTCGTGGCGCCCCTGCTTTTCATTGGGGGAGTGTTGCATTTCCTGCCGAATCTTTTGCTTTCATAGAGAGTGATTTTCGTGTGTAGGTTTGGTACCAGTCCCTCCAGGACCTAAGTGTATATTATCATGTATCTCACTCGCCTGCATTCCAGGGAATACAGATCAAGGACCTTCAACCGTTTCCAGTAATTTAGGTGCCTTATCGCACTTGTGTGTGTCGTGAAAGTTCTTTGTACACTCTCCAGGTCTGCAATGTCACCAGCCTTGAAGGGGGCCGTTAGTGTACAGCGGTATTCCAGCCTAGAGAGAACAAGCGATTTGAAGAGAATCGGCATGGGCTTGCCCTCCCTGGGTTTTAAAGGTTCATATTATCCATCTTATCATTTTTCCTAACAGATGAGGTAGATTGTTGTGGTCTTTGAAGGCGAGATCCTCTGACATATCACTTCCCGGTGGCCTGGTGGCTAAAGCTCCCGCTTCACACACGGAGGGCCCGGGTTCGATTCCCGGCGGGTGGAAATTCCGACACGTTTCCTTAAACCTGTTGTCCTGTTCACCTAGCAGCAAATAGGTACCTGGGTGTTAGTCGACTGGTGTGGGTCGCATCCTGGGGGACAAGATTAAGGACCCCAATGGAAATAAGTTAGACAGTCCTCGATGACGCACTGACTTTCTTGGGTTATCCTGGGTGGCTAACCCTCCGGGGTTAAAAATCCGAACGAAATCTTATCTTATCTTATCTTCCACGTCCTTCACATTACTTTTTCGCTCTATTGTATGGTTAGAATTTGTAGTATACCCTGAAACATTTTTAATTTCCTCAAGTATCCCATGTCTGAGTAGTTGAAATTTCTCCTCGTTGAACTTCATATTGTTGGAGTGGCCCATTCGAAGATTTGGTTAATGTCCGCTTGGAGTCTTGCGGTGTCTTCGATGGAGGTCCCCTCAAGGGAGGTTCCTTGACGCTGGTGAGGGGCTCTTGATCTAGGGAAATGGACCTGTGCTCCGGTTCCCTGAATTGAGCCTGGATCCCTTCCACCCCCCCAAGCGCTGTAAAATCCTACAGGTTTAGCGCTCCCCATGATTATAATAATTATAATAATTCGATGGAGGTCACTGTCATGGTAATCCGGGTGTCATCCGCAAAGGAAGACACGGAGCTATGGCTTACATCTGTCTCTGTCAGAAATTAGGATGAAGAATAGAATGGGAGCGAGTACTGTGCCTTATGGAATAGCTTGTTACCGTGGCTGCCTGGGACTTTACTCTGTTTACTATTACTCTTTGTGTTTATTTGTCAGGAAGTTATAGATCCATCTACCAACTTTTCCTGTTATTCCTTTATCACGCATTTTGTTGTAAGTTTATTCAGGTATACACAAATACAGTTACATAGAATTATCATACATAGCAGCATATGTGTAAAGTACATAGGATAACCCCCCAAAAAAGTCAGTGACTTATTTCCATTGGGGTCCTTTGTGTGCTATTACACCATGGTCACACTTGTCGAAGGCTTTTGCGAAGTCTGTGTATACAACATCTATATTTTGTTTATCCTCTACAGCATCCAGGGGCTCTTGATCTAGGGAACTGGATCTGTGCTCCAGTTCCCTGAATTAAGCCTATACACCTTCCACATCCCCCCACAAGCGCTGTATAATCCTATAGGTTTAGCGCTTCCCCCTTGATTATAGTAATAATACAGCATCCAGGACCTTGTCCTAGCCAGGTCAGTACCGGCCTCACCTCTCTACCACCTCATATTAAATTGTCTTACAAGGGAATTTAAGTAGCATGTATCAAGAAAACCTTGAGAAATGAACCTTAAAGTAATCGCACATTTTTGCGTTGTTTTAGATGTGGAATGACTGATGAATAAGGCATAATCATAGTAATGAGGTTTAGCATTCCACCATGAATGTAATAATATGATACCCTTACGTTTTAGCGCTCCCACGTGAATAAAAGAATTTGGATGAGGGAGGTGTGAATCAGGGAGGCGTGGCTGGTATCTTAGGGAGGCGTTGTCCTAGGTGAATCAGGGAGGCGCGTCTGGAAGGCGTGGATAGGTGCCTCAGAAAGGCGTGGTTTGGGTGCCTCGGGAAGGCGTGGCTAGGTGCCTCAGTGAGGCGTGGGCAGGGTCTTGGCAGTGTGTGTGCCCGTGTGTTGACGTGTGTGTGTCCCGCTGCTGAGCCCCGACGAACTTTCCCCAACTCTCCGAACTAAACGAAGTTTTTCCGAACACTCATTGCGAAACTTTTTTTACGATAGTTGTGTTGCGGTGGTGGAGGCGCGAGGCGACCCCAACCTCGGGGGGCGAGGACCTAGAAAGGCCCCGGGGCGGGGCGTCGCCCCCTCGCTGTCCTAGCCAGGTCAGTACCGGCCTCACCTCTCTACCACCTCATATTAAATTGTCTTACAAGGGAATTTAATTGGCATGTATGAAGAAAACCCTGAGAAATGAACCTTGAAGTAATCGCACATTTTTGTGTTGTTTTAGATGTGGAATGATTGATGAATAAGGCATGTGTAACACCCGAGTACCTTTACTTACGAACACGTTTAGCCAATCAGTAGCTTCATAAATCTACTGGAGATTATATCATGGAGACAGTGGAAGAAGTGGAGAAGTAATTTTAATATCTTCAGTCCCTCAGCCTTGATAAGTGGAGTATGGTATGAGGGGAACACAGCGTAGGGGAAGGAAGTCGTGAATGACTCCACACGTGCTTGCTACCATCCTTACATATATATAATCAGTTTTGAGACAATAGCTATATGTATTTTTTATAGAGTAAATGGAAAAGGCAGACGGCACAAGTCTTGTTTTATATGAACGCTGTGTATTGAGGCCCCTCCAGGGAGGTGCCTTGATGCCGGTAAAGGCTCTTGATTCAAGGAATTGCACCTGATTTTCCCTTCCTTGGATCGAACTTGAATGTCTCCCAGGTGTTATATGATCACCACAGGTTTAGCGCTCCCCCGAATGCTTTGTTTTCCAACTGCTATATGATCCCTACGGGTTTAGCTCTTCTCCTAAATGTCATTTCTTTTTATGTCGAACCTGATTACCTTAAGCGCTATATGACTCCTGCGGATTTAGTGCTTTCCAATATATTATATATATATATATATATATATATATATATATATATATATATATATATATATATATATATATATATATATATATATAACTGTTAGAAAATAGTTTCATTTTTTGGAATGATTCGCAACTATTTATTTTAACTATACTACTAAAAACAATTTTTTCTTATCACATGCAAACCAAATAAAACAAGAAGAAACACTTCAATGACTAAACGAAATAAAAACATTTTGATCATGCAACAGACAACAGCGGTTTAACTGGTTTACCAAACAATAAACCAGCGGCAACTGAGTGTTTTCCAAATAAACTGACAAATGACACAGCACTAATAAAGCTAAATAATCACATTTAGCTGATTTAAACATGATTTAAAAAAAAATGGAGCACATCAGTGATGCGGCTGCATAATCATCCAACGATGATGAATCTTGAAGGATGATACTTGAAACTGACTGTAATACGAAGATACGATTTCAAAGTTTCAGTTAAGAAGCGTATCTATGCTTGTTTTTTGAAATACTGTAAAGTTGAGAATAATGTCTTGCAACATCAGAAGCTCATATCATGAAGATCTCTGCTTATCTGATTCAGAATTCGGTTTCTTGTTTGTGAATTCCAGTTTTAATGATGGATCTGCAGCGCTGTATAGCCCTTGTGGCTTAGCGCTTCTTTTTGATTATAATAATAATAATGATGGATCTGCAAGTAGGTCATTGTATGACCCTTGTGGGTTTAGCGCTTAGTTATAATTATAATACAAGTAGGTCAATAAGCTGTTCTTTAACAACAAAATAGGTCAACAGTAAAAAATGACATTCTCATCCAATGAGTCGCTTCATTGTCAACCAAATTTCGAAAATATTAATTAAAATGAAAGTGCAGATCAAGCTGGTGATCTTTCATTATTGCACACACTTTACCCCTCAAGGAAGATTCCTTGACGTTGGTGAGGGGGCTCTTGATCTAGGGAATTGTATCTGTGCTCCAGTTCCCTGAATTAAGCCTGAATACCTTTCACATCCCCCCACGGGCTTATTTTTTTTTATTCGCCGGGACTCTCCCGGCCCGGGTCTTTTCCAAGAGTGGTGACCCGGCCTTGGCTCCCTATCTGGGGAGTGTCTCGAGACCTAAGTCTCCCATGGGAGGAGGTACAAGTACCCCCTCATCTTTGGGACCAAGTGTCCCCCGGCCTAACTACAGTCTCCGCCCTCACGAGGCTCGCAGGGAGAAGCTAGGCCTCTGGTCTGCCATCTGCCCCGCCCCAAAGGGGCTAGTGGGGATGGCAGTCTTGTGAGCTGCAAGTGGTAGCAAGCTCAGGCTTCTCTGGCTTCTACGGGCTTAGCGCTTCCCCCATGATTATAATAATCCACAAACTTCTGTGGTAAGGGACACCTCATTTTATGTTACAAAGTCAGTAAGACAATCAGACATCATTTTACATGTACCTAAGCAGCTGACAAATTTCAAAGTTTAACTGTCTTATTATTATAATAAAAACAGAAGCGCTTAACCTACAAGGGTCATACAACACAAAGGTTAAAAGCTTTTTATGTTGAACAACAAACTATTCGATTTTCCCACGATCAGAAAGTGTGTTTATTTTTCAAATATATCTGATAAGTATGATACTAAGAACGGTTACTTTTCATTTAAGAAATTAACAGCTAAACCAGGATGTACATCAATGAGGAATATTCCGATACATCATTCAGTTGAAAGATTCGTTGCAGCAGTTTTCCAGGCGAGTTTTTGTGTTGTACAATAAACACTTGTGATCAGACCATTTATTTGAACGAGATACTGATCAATCTTGTATTGAGATCACTACTATTTGCTGTGTTTACCACTGATATTACAGATTTAATAACATTACTTTGGTCTTCTCTCATTTTATGCGATGCTAATTTTTTGGGTTGAAAAATGCCATGAGTGTGTTTTATCACTTTCACTAGTAAACGAGTGAAATCATACCTTTACAGCTGTGGAAAATACCGTGTATATTTTCCAGAAATACAGTAGTTATATGTAAATAGATGGCCATACTGTATTTAATAATATTTGTCATAAAAAATGGGAAATTTTCTGCACCTGGGCAAAAGGACAGTCGCCATTTTTGTTTTTGAATTGAGTAACAGACATTAGTAATGGGAAGAATTTTTCGTGCTCTAGAGGTAAAATTGGGCTGACACCTCTCAAATAGGAGACGAAATTGTTGGATGAGCATTCCTGCATAACTTGAGTATCAGGCGACAGGACAGGACAACTCCAGGAACCTCAGATAAGCTGTCTAATTTATGTTTAAATTCTGGCCAGTAAATTTTTCATAAATGTAGGCAAGGGGGGGGGGTCCTGTACATGACACATTAATCTCCAGTCAAATTGGTGAGTGTTATGATTAAGATATATTCTCCTTCTGTTGTATAAATGTGTGTGTATATATATATAATCATTTATTATTTTTAATATACAGTCCACAAATTTATATATTTACCAGCATTCCTGGTGATATATATTTTATTTATAATTAATAGGTCCAGAGCAACTTGTGGATATGACAGTGATAGGTATCGAAGGGGACATTTTTTGCGACCTAGGTGTCCCAAATTCCTACTTGTCTAACTGATAAATAATAATTATCTTTGTTCATTTACTGTTATGTACATAATGATACATTCAGATAAATGTAATTTTCCACAACAGCTGTAATAGTTGACAAGTCTGGCACTAAAATCTATATTGACTATTAGAAGATAGGCCTGTTTTACGAGTATGTAATTAAAAATATCAACATTAACGCAGCGGCAGTGTATGACAAAGTAGGTTACTTCAATGTTGATGTTTATAAAGATTCTTGTAAAAAAGAAGGCTGGTATTCTAATAATCACGATGTATTTTCTTTATAGAGTGGTCGTAGGCTAGCAAAGCTGCCCAGTACATAGAATATTTCCCGCTGTAATCATTGCCACGAGCTGGATGAAATTCACTGGCATCTCACCTCATACATATCTTTCGTAAGATGATCTGGAAGAGTAACTTAACCCCCTCCTCTCCCTATATGCTATTCGCAGACCACGGTTTGAGAAATGATGACATAGCTTACAGCCATTAGCAGTTTTAACTTGTTGCAGCAAACAACATAATGTTCTCATTTGTTATATAAGCTTCTTTGATATATTATGAATTTTTGTATTGTCTTCTCATTTTGTATACCTCTGATTCCCTCAAGGAAGGTACCTAAATGTCAGTGAGAGGCTCTTTATTCACGGTAGTAGACCTATCCTTCTCTCCCTTGGGTCGAACCTGATTGCCTTTTATGCACTATATGACTCCAGCGGGTTTAGCGCGTTCCCTATTATAATAAAAATATTTACAATTTATTCCAAAGTTTACTCAAGACTTGTATGTCATTCAGTGTTAAGTCAATAAGATTGGCAAGATGGAGCTAATATTGAGTTGAGGGGCTCCTTTAATTTTTATTACACAAGCAACTTGTATTATGAAAGTGCTGCATGGAGCCTCCATACAGCACTTTATATAAAGGCACAGCATAAATATATAATGGAGGTACTTTGATATACCTTTGAAGAATTTCGGGAGTATATCTACTCTATGAGCCCGGCCATGGGCCAGGCTCGTCTGGTGCTTTATATAAAGGCACAACATAATTGGAATACGAAATTTTTCTCTTCATACGTTCTTAGGTTACCTCAGTAACGCTCTGATATAAAGCATCGAGCATGGAAAACATGTGCTTCTCTGTATGACATCGAGTTTGTAGTACTTGTACCCAACAGGTTACATACAGCTTGTAGCAGATGTAACTCTGCATGACATGGAGCAGGCAACAGCTTGTAGTACCTGTAATCCTCTGTAGGGCATTGTGTAAGGTATTCCTCTTGAGACATTTATCCATTCGTATACCAAAATGTAGGTTACCCATCCAGTAAGAAGTGCTTTGATGCAGGTGAACGCGCCCCCTTCGCTTCCTTGGATTGAACCTGATTGTCTCCCATTCCCCAGCCGTTATATGGCCCTTAGGATTTTAGCGCTTCTCCATTATAATAACAGCAGGCTACCCCTTTGTCACATTAACTATTCTGTATGGCACTATATAGGCTATCCCTTAGTGAAAATTTATGCACCTATTTAGGGCGCCATGTTGACTACCCCTTAGGGAAAATTTACCCACTTGTATGGCAACAAATAGGCTACATCTTAGCGGAAATTTACCCCTTTGTATGGCATCAAGTATCTGAGTTTGAAGACGGCTGCCCTAGACGGCTATCAAATTTGATGCACTGACTAGGTATGTTAACTGCAGGTGATGCTCTCGCTGTGTGTGGGTCTTCATGCACTCGCCTGCTGGGCCGCCCGCAAGTACAGACAGGTAAATGATCCCTGCTTGCGTGTGTGGTCTTGATTCCCCCCCACTCCTGTGTACACACACACACACACACACACACACACACACACACGACAGCAGAAGTGGACCCCACACACGGGTTCAGAAATAGATATTACAGGGAAGTGACGGTGAAGGGTCCTTGATCCAGGGAACTTGAGCTTACCGCCACTTCCTTTTTACAAACTAGATTGCCTCCCAACCCTCAGGCGCCGTATAACCCTACAGATTTAGCGCATCTTCATAAACATAATAATTCACGTCATTTGGCCGAGTTAAAAGGGGGGAATGAGCCAAGAGCTAGAGTTCATCTCCCACTTCCTCAAACTTTAATTAGATAATTGCACGCACAGTATACCTTTGTCTGTTTAAATACCTGCTGATATTTACCCTTAAGTCATGATTTTTCTAGTTTTAATTTAATCTTTAATATTGTCTGAATTTCATCTGGAAAGTTACACTCATCAGCGATAAGAATTTATGTAAGAAATTTTTCGTGTTTATTATTTGAATAACATTATATCATACTCTCCCACACGCTTCATCGTATCTCACATTCGTCTTCCCATAGTACAAAACTTTTTAGGAGAATTTTATTTGGCTTAATATATTTTCTCTTCTAAAGTTTCAGCATTGCCAACAATAACTTATGAAATATAGTAACCACACACGAATTAATTTATTGCACAGAAATCGATTTCACATCTCAGATAGTGTAATCCTTCAGCGGTGCTGTTCGAGATCACCTACGGTGCTCTGACGTCCAGTTTATGTCTTGGAATTGGCTCTAACAATTTATATTAGTCGGTGATTAACCATGACTAAGTTTGGCAGAGTTGTCTTGTTCTTCTAAGCCTCTGCATGATGTACTGTTGTCAGTCCTTGCAACCTGCAGCTTGAAGGCTTATATCCAGACCGGTCTAACCATCTGATACACTTTCCATCCATGGAATTAGAGCTCCTCTCCTTGGATCAAAGCTAATTACCTTCCATTTCCCAAGCGCTGCAGAGCCCCAGCTGGTGTAGCGCTTCACAATAATAATAATGCCACGAGTCGCAGAGTCTGTCCGCCTGCTTTTGGAAACCCAAAATACCCATACACTGTTACCAGCATCAACCACTCACTGTTACCTAACTGCTATTTTGGTTGATAACGAAAATAGTACAATAATTCTACAAGTTACTCAACATGCCAGTGCCAATCAAGGGTGAGTGTTGCCTCGGCTCAAAGTAAACAAAGACGCACCAGACCTTTGATGGAATAAATAACAAAAAGGCACAACACCGTGACTGGAACAATTCACAAATAATACGCACATAGGAAAGAGGAGCTTACGACGACGTTACGGTCCGACTTGGACCATTTACACAGTCACACTAACAGAAAGTAGTGAAGGAGGGAGTATAAATGGGCCAGAAGACAGGGACGGGACAAGAGAGGTAGAAGAGGAAGGTGAGAAGTAGTGGTAGAGGTAGAAGTAGTAGTAGTAGTGGAGTCAGTCAAATACTAAGAGGAGCACTGCAAGGGACCTAGGGGCTCACAAGGGAGCTAGGGGCCCACAAGGGAGCTAGGGGCCCACAAGGGAGCTAGGGGCCCACAAGGGAGCAAGGGGCTCACAAGGGAGCTAGGGGCCCACAAGGGAGCTAGGGGCCCACAAGGAAGCTAGGGGGCCTACAAGGGAGCTAGGGGCCCACAAGGGAGCTAGGGGCCCGCAAAGGGTAGGAACAAGAACACAAAGGAAAAATGTTAATAGTAATGGATCAAATACCCAAGGCAGAAGAAAGAAAACCCAAAGGGGAAAAAGGAAAGAGGAAAGGGGAAGAGGGAGACGGGGGAAACAAGAATCAGGTTAGGTCACGGATGTTCTGATGTTTGGAGCATTTTACAATGTAATGGGAAAGGAAGGCATCTACAGAGACAAATCCAGGACTAAGATTCATACAAGAAAAGCTGTGTATAAGGGTGGATTCAACCAGACGGCGACAGTGAAAGTTAGACGTAGGGTAGACAGTTTTAGAAGAAGACTAGTCAGAAAAGAGCATGGTTGGTGTCGGCAAGCCTAACACTACTTTTGTGCTCCCTGAGTCTGTCAGAAAGAGAACGGCTAGTGTCTCCAAAGTATTGAAGAGGACAGGATGAACAAGAAATAGAGTAGACACCAGGAGAATCTATAGAGGGAGGAGAGGTATGAACCAGATTGGTGCGAAGAGTGTTAGTCTGGCGAAAAGTAAACTTGATGTTTAAGGAACGGAGCGAATTGCTGAGATTAGAAAGATTAGAAGTATAGGGAACGCAAAGGACAGAGAGTTCCCAGGAGTAGAGAGTTTGGGAGAGAAGTCCGTTTAGCACGTGAGAAGGCAGAGTCTATGTAATGGGAAGGGTAGCCAAGACGGGAAAATGAATTACAAAGAGTGCAAATTTCTGATTCAAGGAACTGTAAATGGTCCAAGTCTGACCGAAACGTCGTCGTAAGCTCCTCTCTCATATGTGAGGGCTATTTGTCTATGATAGAAGTTAAGGTTAGGTTAGGTGGGTCTTGTTAGGCTTGGACACCTTTTTTACCATTTGCAAAACAAAATAGAACCTCAAGTGAAAAATCGCCTTAATATTTTAACATTCAAACTATAATTAATTTCCGAAATCGGCCGAGTAGCAGTCGTAAACTGTTTCCGCCTTTTTACCAATTGTTCAGCGCTTTTTTTATTATAATAATAATTTACCACTTGTCGGTTACACCATACTTCAACCCAAGATTCATGCAAATATCGTCCTTAATGTATAAAAAAAAATCTAGCTGAATGAATTTTTTAAGCCGGCATAATGCAATGATTTGGTAATTTTAGGATGGCCTTGCTACGGGTCGGGTCTTGTTCGTTCCCTGAGCTACGTTAAACAGTTACCTACAGACTTGAAGACATATATGACTGGTCTTCTCAATTTATGCACTCTAAACATTCTTCATGGAGGAAACCTGAGCACGGAAATACCACCGGCAGAGGGACGAGAGTAGCTGTGTTATGTGCCAAGGTGTGTGGGTGTCCCTGTAGCACTGAAGAGTCGTATTAGTGTGTACTCACCTATTTGTACTCACCCATTTGTGGTTACTGGGGTCGAGTGTGTGTGTGTGGCACGCTGTTTAACTCGTGGTCTGCATAAAGAGTGGCACCATATAGATAAACGTCAGTCTTTAACTTTTTTTTTTACCCTCTTTTTGTATTTGCGCAATTTTTGACACATATGTACGTAACTACCCATGAATTTGCTTTTATAGACTTCAAGAAATCTTTTTCTGTCGTTTGTTGATCTGTATGTGTGTTAATTCATTTTTTTTAATCAAAGGTTTAGTAAGTTGTGGGAGGAAGAAGGATGGGTAAAGATGGAATATGGAGGAGGGGTAGGTGGGGGTGAGGAGAGGAGAGTAATAAAGGTAAGTGGCACAACCACTTTGGAGTATATTAATAAAGGTGTGTGTGTGTGCTGTTAAGCATGGTAATCAGATGATACTGTATACCACACCACCCATCAGAGACACACTTGTATGCGAGATGCCTACGTGCATGGCAGCGAATTGGTGGTAGGTATATTTTTGTAATTGCCAGAATCTTATTCGGGTTTCTGATGTTGATAGGTGTACTCCTGATGGAAATACCTCCGTTACTTTCAATTGTTGTGGGATAGCATCCAATAGTGCTGATGAGGGCCTTGTCAGGATTGGTCGTGATTCTCTATTTCTTCCCCCAGTTGGTTGTTCTTCGCAATTCCGTATTCATTTTATGTCACCCTCTCATGTATGTTTTTTCCCGATGCAGGAGTAGGTGATACTACATGGATAACATCGTCAACAAATTGAGTAATGATAGTGTCATTGTATTCTGGTTGGGGAAGGTCGTTACATATACGCTGAATAGGATAGGGCTCAAGCACGATTCCTATGGCACTCCAGCTGTTGGTGTGAGTGATTCTGCCGTCTTGCAGTTGAAGGTGGGGGTGATATTCGTTCTTGTTAAGCAGTTGTATATGAGTCTGAGAAAGGTTCATTTATGATCTGGGAGGTAAGCAAGTTTGAATATTAGGTCGTCGTGCCACAGGCTGTCAAAAGCTTGGTGTACATCCCTATTCGTCATCAGTGGGAAATTACCCTGTTTATGTAGGCTGGCCACATGGTCAGCATCGAAGATTATATTGATGGAGTGTTGGGTTCCTCTGTGAGTCCTAAACCCAAACTGGTTTTCAGTGAAGACGTGTTTAAACTCCATGTAGTAGTTCAGCCTATTAGAGATGTTTTTTTTTTTCAAAGATTTTGCCAGTGAATTCGAGTAAGGAGATAGGTCTGTAGTTTCTTTAGCTTATGCTAGTCTTTAGTGAGTTTTGCAGTATCATCCACGCTGTTTGTTAGTCGTGTCAACTGTGCTCTGTGCGTGTTTCATACCTCCATTGCCATTCTCAAATGTGGTTATGTTTATGTATGTCTTCCATCTCCAAAAACTATGCTTTCAAACTTTTAAGGGATATATTCAGACTATTTATTTCGAAAATTTCTTGCCTCTTAACTCCTGAAACACTTTTCTGTTGTACATCTCACATAGCAGTAACATAATATTTTCTTCAACAAATAATATCTAATACCAACTAAAAACTATTTGAGAGTTCCTCATTCTTTGGGTAGTAGGTCAAAAAACACTCAGACATGAGTCGCTAAATCTTTCTCTGACTATACGGAATTAAACAAGAAATAAAACTTTCTACAAACCTTAATTAAAGGCTCTGAGATTTGCTAAAAAACAACCCCAATTAAAATTTCTTTTGCACTAAATATTTGAAATAACATTAACTTATTTAAATTTCTTTATTACTATTATAAATGACTCTAGTAGGTTTAGCACTTAGTTATAATTATAATTAAACAATTTTATGTAACTTTTGTTTATTAATTTATTTCATTTATGTGAAGCGCTAAACTCATGTGGGTCATTCAGCGTAAAAT